ACACAGTAACAAAAGGTGAAGGCCCGCTCATATTTGAGTTGCAAATGATCTTATCTTATTTAGAGTAAATTGCACTATACATCCTCAAACTACAATCTTCATTCTAAATTGATCCTTAAACTTTTAAATATTCTAAATTCATCCTCAACTAGAACTGTTAAAACGAGTTAGGGAGTCGATTATGTGTGAAGAAGGATTAGCACCTCACAATGCCCGAAAATTGGTACCTAGTCTATTAATTATTGTCTTTATAATGGAATTTATGACTTTGATTACTAGTTTAATTAATAATCTCTTTTCAATTGAATAAATACAATATTATTTAACTGACTAAAGTTCTAGAGAGAAAAATTAACAATTTGTTGCATTTAACTGCTGAGAGTTAACCTCTTAATATGAAGTAGGACGACATCCTCTCTTTTTCAACCAAATCAGTGAATTGCCAACATTTCATCTTAGGAACTTAAGGTCTCTAAGGTAAACCGACAACGTTTCAACATCACAAGCCGTGTAGAAAAGCACTCTAATATAAAATAGAACGACAATTTTCTCATTCTCAGGAGGAAACAAGAAGCATCGTCATTTTCCTTTACAATCAAATGTTATATTTATTCCATTGAGACTATGTACCAAACAAATATTTTATTAATAAGAATTACCCAACCTTTAAGATAGATAGAGGATGTTTAAATATTTATAAATACCGAGACTAAACCATCTAATAGGGTCGAATGGTCTATTCTCGTTAAATTTAAATATAAGAACATGTCTTTTTCTACTCTTCTGGTTAATTTTAATATATTGCCATTTTATTTAGTCCTAGTATATGATATTTATTTATTTTGAATTACTAGAATCGAACTACCAGTTAAGTTAAGACAACCTTTTTTAGTAATTTTAAATAATTAAATATTACCTTTTAATCAAATTATGAAAGGATCGAATTATGCACATGAGGTTATCATGTTTATTAATTAAAATAGAAAAATACCACATTTACAATTTCGTTAATTTTTTAATTATTGATAAACAAAATGCAACTAAAACGAAACATTAAGTATAATTTAAAAAATAGTTGAATAATCAAAATAGAACAAAAGTGTAACTAGGGTACTAAACATGTAATTTACCAAAAAAATTATTAAGAATACCATTTGTTTTTCAAGATTCCTTTGTTTGTTCATTGTCTAAAAGGGTTGATAGAAAACCTTAGGCACATAGATAAGTAGAAGATAAACTTTTTTTTATAGAAAAGATTGTCTCGTTAAAAAACCCCTTCATAACCGCCTAGCTAGAAAGGTAGTTCAGCAGACATTGGATGGAGGAAAAGAATGTCATAAATTTTATTACTAAAACCCATATACAACAAAAGTACATAAGACCAAGTACAACCATACAACATCTATCACCGAACAAGAAAACAATCTGGTACATAACTCCTAACCAATCTCTACATTATACACCCTCTTCTAACCTAACCAATTCCCAATTTGGCAAACTCATCTTCCTTGTAATTTGCACCTCATAATATGCCTAATGACCACACCTCTATTTAACACAATATTAGCAATGTCATTCATCACTGCTTTAAACAAAAGAGTACAAGAAGTTGGATTATTAATCCAGTCTAAAGCAACTAAACAATCAGATTTTAAAATTAGCCTTCCCCTTGATGCCCACTCTGAATCTAAAAATAGTCGCAGACCCCTCTTAATAGCCAACAATTCTGCCAAAATTGGAGGACTCGATCCAACTTTCTCAGAAAGTGAATCCAGCATGACACCCTTCTCGTCCCAAAGCAAACCACCTATGTCACCCTTCTACCAAAAACTATCATAGCACCATCCACGTTAACCTTAAAAAAACATGGCAGAGAAGGACAACAACCTTCACGGACAAAATTAACCTTATTTGAGCATTGGTAGGAATCTACTAACGTAAGACCACCCATTAAACTATAAAAAAAGACCGGATGATTTTGAAACTTTGAAGAGAATCATGTTGCCACTTTTGTATCTTACTAAGAAAAAAGCTGAACTCGATCAAAATTCCCATTAGTAAAAACAGTTTCGTTTCTTTGCTTCCAAACGACCACAATATTGCTCTAGGGATAAAGGTCCATATGACTGATTTCGAGATCAAACCAAACCAGGCTGAAAGTATATCAGTCGGGCTCTCGGGGACAGCGAAATATATGTTCCACATACTCATGTAACTCGTCCAAAAACCCCAAGAGACAATGCATAAAACAAAAAATAACAGATTCTATATTACCTCCACACAAAAGACACGAATGATCCTCAATCCCCATTATAGCATGCTTAACTAACTCAACTTTCACTGTCACCTTCTTGTAAACCACCTACCACAGAAAGAACTCCACTCGAGGAGAAGCAACCCCTAGCCACACATTTTGACCATAAAGAATTATCTTCTAACCTATCCAACATTAGTCTCATGCACGATTTCACTGAGAAACAACCATCACCCTGTCCAAGCCAAACATAACTATCATTGATGAACTCCAAGGATTAAAAATTGCATAACAACGTATACAAATGAAGCAATTGCTCCATCTCCCCTGTCAAGTTCCTCCTCATCTGAATATCCAACACCACCCAGAAGAGCTCATTATCCTAAAGTTAGCAATTCTCCCATTTTATTAGTCGAAAGGATAAACAATCTTGGAAATCGATTTTTCAAAGGCATACCATCTAACCACATGTCATGCCAAAAACAAAAATGATTTACCATTACCGACCCTAATATGAGTATTTCCCTTAAAACAAGCACCAAAATTATCACATGCATAACAACTTTTAACTATCAATTTCCATATCCAAGAAGCTATAGAGGAAATCAATTTGTTGAAAACAAAGGATTTCAGGTCAAGATTATTGACACCACATCCACTTCCTCAAAAGAGCTCTATTCATAATATCCAAATTTACTATTCCCAAGCCACCCATTTACTTTGGTCTGCACACCGAATCTCACTTTACCCAATGGACACTTTTCCTGTCACTCGACCCCCCAAAAGAAACCCGCCATAATAGCATTTAACTTCTTTAGACCACATGAAGGAATTGAATGATTCAATTCTAATCAATTCTAATTCGGACTCAAAAACCAGAATTGAATTATTCGAATTCAAATCAGATCAAAATAAATCCTAATCACGAAAAATTAGCTTAAATCTATACAATCAGAATCCAAATTGTACCAAACATGAAATTTAAAACTTAAATTGACTTGATCCAACCCAAAACCAACCAGATGAATGCATGTAAGAACAATAAAGCATTAGGTCAATCTAGTGATGATCGGATAAATAAGATTAAGACCAAGGGATATAGCACAGCCATCCTCACAAGTCATCAAATCTAAGACAATGGTTGCACGTTAGCAGTAACTAAAGAACCACTTGATGCGCAAAGAGCAATTTAGTATTGGGACAAACCCAGCCCCGATTAGTAAGCAAATAAAGCATCAAAAGCCTTCGAAGTTTCATCCAATCCAAGCCTCTGTACTGGAACTTGCATGGATAAACAAAAAGGTGACTCCTATGCACCAGTGGACAATATCAGACATAAAGGGCAGACCAACACCAGAAACACCATTACATTGAGGTGTGTATGTAATTTAAAATATAATATTATATAAACTGGCACTAAATTAATTTCTGAGCGCCAAGAATGATTCAATGCATTGGAAGGCGAGGATTGCACACCCGAACTGGGGTCTTCGATGGACTTACCCTGATCAAACACGAGAACCAATGTTAATTTAGATTATGGTAATATATAAAACAAATTTTGAGGAGACTTTGGCGAGAAATTATGGCAAAAAATTCTGACCTTATGGGCAAGGATCCTAGAACCACACCACTACAGTTGAGGGCAGCAATTGCACTTTCAGCCTGTGCATAAGTAAGAGAAGATTACAAATTCAAGTAGATTGAAGCAATCCATTCTCTGAGATATTGAAAAAGAAGCTACATCATTTGCAAACATGACACCTATGACAAGTTAGGTTTTACTAACCAAAGAAAGGTAGACAATCGATAAATAATTAACTATATTGATTGTCATCTGTCATTCAACCCTAAAACATTTAGGATTACTCCTTCGGCAGTAACATACACAAATTATTTGTTGATCAAAAGAATTCTATAGCTTATCGTCCAAGTTTCCGCATTTAGCAAGCCAATGCAACATAGTGATTATTTAAAATGAAAAATAAATAAATAAATAAAGACCTCAGAGCTATAAATGCTTTATTTAGACAAGCCCTTATACTCTTCTACACTTACATAAGCCCTTATCCACTGATTTGTAACCAAGTAAGCCCTCATTTTGAAGTAGAAAATTTATTTATGCCAAGTGTTTATTTCGGGGTTTATTTAGGTTAAACGCTTACATAGGTTTGCAAAAAGTATGAGGACTTCAAGATCATTTTCATTAGTTTAGCCTACATTATAAAACAAGCATAACCGCAGTTGCTAGACAACACACCATACTAGAATAGAACAGCTTCTAAGGTTACTTCGTTCACGGCTTTAATACGTGCAAACTAAGTCAATCTTGGCATCATCATTAATATAAGAAGCACCAGAGCCAATAATAATTGATAATCAAGTTCCCATATCAGAAAAGAATGCAGTCTTCTAATATTACAGGTGCACATGACAATCTGACTACAAGTTAAACAGAAATGTAGCATATCATTGTACTCTTCTAATGCCTTTATCAAAGGATTAAGAGATTCATAATTAATATTGAAAATGTTTGGGAGGCACTAAAAGGCATAATCGAAACTGTATATGGAATTTTATGATAGACAAAGTTCACCCTTTATATAGCTGAAAGAAACATGCAGGATGGGCATTAATTTACCCAGCTGCTTGGCGTCACAACATTTCATAAAAAGGAGAAACACAGGCTATCTTTACTCACAAGAAAGATTCAATAGTGCAGGGTCATTGCTACATTAGCAACATACAACATTATTTGCACGAGTTTCCTCATAAACAATAAAACTCGATACATGATTTCAAATGCAAATTCAATAGATATATTACAACCAAGAAAATTCTAATCTACCAAAAAATAGCTCAAGTAGATAAGTTTCAGCTTAACTTTCACACAACTGCTATACTTCAAAAGGAAAAGGAAATGCAAAGATGTAATATTGTATAAAGCAAATTTGTTACTCCTTTCGAGATTATCAAAAAGTAGGATCTTCTGCTTTCACATCTGTCTACATGTGATGGGAGCCTGTTTATGTTGTTAAATGGTGTTATCACACATTTGTTAAATATTGAGTTTCCTGTGGTTGTATGTTGAAGTTCATGCCTCGTCTGGTTAAAATCTCTCTTCCATGTATAGGGTTTCTTTAACACACAAAATACAGTATCCTATAGTTAACACAAACACCATACCCACTGAATGACCTAAATCTTTAAGATATAAAAGAAAGTTCATGCAAAGACAAAAAACTCATAAACCAAAGAAAGCTTCCTCAGCCATGTTCAAACAATTGCATGAACAAAGGGGAAGAAACAATTACCATTACAAACTCAACAAAAGCAATGCGGGTTGAATGGTTATAGTCTCCTAGCAACCTTAGGCGATAAACCTACATAAGACAAAATGTCACTCCAAATATATCCTGAACAAGTTTGATGAATGAATAGAAGAAAGAGCTCCAGAGTTAATAAAATAACGAACCTCCCCACAGAATGTTTCAAAAAAGAGCCTAACATCATCTTGAGTAACCTGCAGAGCGTAATATCACATAAAAAGATGAAAAAGCTCCTTTATCTGGCAATCAGTATCATTTTTCATAATCAACATTCCAAAATGCAAAAAGCTTCTCGCCTTCTTGTCAATGTTTGTACAGTAGATAGTTCTTGCACACATCTGGCGTTCATCTTCATTCTGAAATAGGAACAAATATTTAACATGCTGAATAAGGGAAAAGAATGGAAAACGCATAGAAGACTCCAAATAATAATGCAGGAATGAGCCTCACCCTTGGCAAAAATGTTGGGTTAACTGGTGCAATAGCTGTTTTAGAGGGCAGAACTTCAACTGGGTAGAATCCAAGCATAGTCCCTGCCAGACTCAGAGCAGCTTGTGCACCTTCTGCAAAAGTGTAGATATCTCGTTTAACAGTTAGATTGACAACCCCGTAAGATATGCATTAAGCATGGTGGAAAAACACCTTCATCAGTGAACTCAACGAAGGCAAAACGAAGTACAGAATTAGGATCACCACAAATGCGGCAGTCAACCACCTTCATAAGAAAAAAAAAATCATTTAGATGCATTGATTTGATTAAAAGAAACTTTTTAGGACAACCAATGAAAACAATCACCTGTCCACAGTTCACAAATAAACCTGCAAGTTGCTCTTCGGTGACCTACATCCCAACAAACAAAAGACTACATGAATCTAAATCTCAAAGATGAAAAAACACAAATCAGGGAATCAATTGCTGCATCGTAACATAGCTAAAAGTGGTGAATATATATACATATACCTGCTGGTCAATATCAGACACATAAACAGTCCTGCGGATAATCGCTTCCCTTTGGGCCATACTCGTTCTGGTGTTCAGTCTCCGTTTCCCTTGAATGAAAACTTTCTTCTGAGAAAGAATAGCAATGAACAAAGCATGGATTGAAAAAAAGATAAAGCAACGATCAAAAGCTTAAAAGAAGAACTTCATCGAAACTTGAAAACCTTCATCCTCTAAGCCCTGATTCATTTTTTTTCTTCTAAATTTTACCACCAATATGACAAACAATCTTCATTTACTAACAAGGAAATCGATTAAAAAATTGAGTTTTTGATGGCATACCCGCCCACCAGCACCATTGACATTTCTTGGGATGCTATTGTTTTGCAAAAATGAGTTGTTAGTGAAGAGACCACCATTGATTCCATGGTTAGCAACTGAATGAGGCACGAACTCTTCAGCCATGGGGTTAAGTTTAGAGAAGAGTTCTTGCAACTCTCTCATGTCCCTCTTGAAGCTATCCCCAACTTCATCCCCAACACCACCATTGCTCCCCTGCAAATCCCCACCTTTAGATCGAGGATGAGGACCACCGATCTTATTGTACAATCCTTGATCGTTCTGGTGTAAGCTGGGATCGATTTTTGACCGTACATGGTTTTGCTTTGACTGATCCTGATCGTTCATTGCTACCGCCGACGCCGCCACCGCATCTTGATTCGAAACATTCTCAACTACCGCCATAGTCTGATGATTATTCCTAAAAAAAAAGCTCCTCTTTTATCAACTGATCAAGAAAAAGACCTGAAATTTATAAGCCCAGACATAAAACAAGAGAAAAATATATATATTTTATGAATCGAGTTGTAAATGTTAGGAAAAAACGATAGAATCGTTTAGGAAACTAAGCTAAAACTACAATAATCTCCATTAACATCGAACTAAATAACAAACCCACCTCGAGATCACTACGGAGAAAAAAATCAAAATAAATATAGCACAAAACAAAGTAAAATTGTTAGAGAAAGGCCAGGTTTTTCATTTCTTACAGTGAAAATTGTCTTTCCTTTCGTTCCCCTTTTCTTATTTCTATCACAATTTCACAGTGATTATCTATATAAATAATGACACCAAAAAAAATTGAGTTGTTTGTTAGTGAAATGTAAAAACTTTAAAGAAATCAAAATAATAGTATTTTTTTTCTTTCTTCTTACATGTCGATGAATGACTGATGCCATGGATTTGAATGCATGTATCACACATTGATGCCTTGCCACATCCATCATGCTTCTGTGTTATAACGTGTCACGTTATTAGTGGTTAACCAGGGAGTCTTGACTTCATCTTTGCCAGCGATTTTGAATTCAGTTTCCTAAACTGTAAATTGAATAAATTATTTTAATACGATAAATAAATAAATCATAATCACCCAACTTAGGCACTTAAAGCAAGAAGTAGGTAAATGTCATTTATTGCATGCTAAGAATTTCAAGGTCATCGCTAGTAAATTTCATTTTTACCGGTAAACATTCAAAAAAGTCAAAGATATTGTTGAACGGAAGATGTATAATCATAGGATGGAATTAAAGTATAAGTTCTTAAAAATTTAATATATCATAAAATTAAAAGAGTTATAGATTAGGCGTTTTTCACGATATATCACTTATACCCTATATATTTTCTCTGTCAGATATCCTTCAGAGTATTTTTTTTGATCTAACACCCTTTGCAGTAAGATGTGCCCCCTGCAGCGCGTTTTACTCTGATTTGTCGCCACATAAGGTGAGGTGCGCCCCCTGCAGTGCGCTTTATGCTGAGTTGGATATACGTGGCGAAAGTGCGCCTTACGCCACGTAGAGCTATAGCGCGATGCAGGGGTCGCGATTTTCAATTATCACATGCTCAATTATCAGACATGCATAATACAAGGCGCGGTGCAGGGATCGCGCCTTGCATAATTTACCCGATCTTCTCGGCTTTAAAGCATCATCTCTCGGCTATAAATAGCGCTCTCCCCGTAAACTCTCTCACCAACAATCTTTTAAACTAGTAAATAACACCCGACAATCCTCTTATATTTGATTCAGAAGTTCGTTCGATCTTTGGTTATAAGGTAATTTTGTTATAATATTTTTTTATAATTATATATGATTATTTGAAAAAAAATATTATACTAATTGTTTTCAATTAATTTTTTGTGTTTGTAAAATTGGAAAGATGGAGCATACGTCGAAATATTTTTGAGGTGCATGTAATAATATAAAATTATATTATTTAAATTATTTACGTTTATGTGTAAAAATTTTATTGTGTTATATTTTCGTTCATATATTATTTATTTAATCAGGTTTGTTTCAATTGTAATATTTTCGCACTTTTAAACTCTAAGAATGACGCAACTTTCAGCTATTGTTTATTATGATGAAAAAATTCGAGAAGATGAAACCGACGTTGTTTTCGTATCAAATGATCGTGTTAAAATATCATTCAAGAGAACCATAACTCTTGAGGAGCTGATAATGAAGATTTTGAGGAAGGTTCATGTTGGAAGTAGTAGAAGAATGTCGTCGTTGTAGTACAGATTTCCAACATCATTGTTGCCATTAACTTATACAGCGTTCGAACTATCGAACAATGATGATGTTGAAATGATGGCTAATTCTCAAAGTAATTATTCAGACGTCGATATTGAGATGTATGCAAAGTTTGTTCAAGTACGTGTTGTTCGGGTGCAGGTAAGGATGAACCGGAAGCACCTGCTCTCCGTTTATGAGTCGGGGGACGATGGTGTTGTGTCGGTGAACGTCTCAGTCGACGTCGCTGAAAGGTCCACCCTCGTGCATCCTCGAAAATCAGAAACAATTTCCCGTTACTGTTGAACCACTCATAATAACCGTCAGCAACCATCAAGAGGTCATCAAAAATGGGCTCTCTAAGGGAAGACGCTGATGTCGATCCTCCCACAACACGACCCACTCATATGCCTCCCCAGCCAATCTGTATCGGTCTTGCCACGTCTATCTGTGTTATGCAACTCGTCCATATTGCGAGGTGCTTCCGGAATTGGTTGAAAACAACCAAATTGCCGGAGCACGCGATCAGTGGAGTGCCACTCAACGATCGCATAACATATCAAAGGGACTATCGCCATCCAAGCATCTGATGGGCCCCTCAACTCAGGTGGGATCACCATCCTCACATCATCATTAGAATATGACACACATTCAAACTAAAACAAATATATATAATTTTTATCAAAATAATAATCTAATTATATAACTATAATCTAAAATCGATTTTTAAACATTAAAATACATACATGTGTGTCAGCCTTCTGATCGATTAACACCCTAATTTTTTCTAAATCATCATATAGCTTCTGATGATTTTTCCTATCAGTAGACCACCTATTCAACGAAAAAAAATTATTATACACTATATAAAATGATTAATATACGAAATCAGTTTTATAATTACCTCAATAGTAACGGAAATATGAATGAGTTCTTGACAACGAGATATAAAAAGGGCAATCGATACCATGTCCAAGACTGCAACAGCAGGAGACATCCACCGATAGCATTTTTCCTATAGTCAGTGGCACGACACATCTCCCTATACAGGAAAGTCAAAATTGCCAAGCCCCAACTGAGTGATCTGGCCAAACGAAAGTCGCCAAGATGTCGCAACCACATACAGTGAACTTGGTTGCACGATTTGTCTGGCATCAGCAACCCTCCTATCAGTTGCAGTATGCATGCCCGTGCATACATTTTAACTTCATCATCAGAGGTGTCCTCACTCAACTCCCAAAAATTGGCATCTAACCAATTTAACGGTATCCGACCACCGTTAAAACTTTTCGGGACACGTCCTAGATAGTCCCGGCACAAAGCAGCCCAGGAACCGTGCGCCATCCACAATATCACATCTCCATCCACCGGAAGCCCCATGTGTAACATCCTCAATACCGGGTTAGTGATCAAATTGTAAAGTTTCATAATTTGATGACTAAAATAGAAGAATGAAATAGTTCTATGATTATTGGATGTATATGATGAAGGTTAATTAGTAATTATTAAAGGAAATAAAGGGTAAAATGGTCATTTGATCATTTAAGGAATTATATACACGTGAAAAGGGAGAGAACTCTCCAGAGTGCTCTTCTCTTTTCTTCTTCTTCATACGTGGGAGAGCAAGCCAAAGGTAAGTTTCTTTGTTTGTAAATGAATTGTTGATTTTAAGGTTGGGTTTTGATTATTAGATGATAACTAAGCTTAAGGAAAGCTTAAATCATCTTAAAAACAAATGATGGAGGGGTTAAGAGAGATTAAAGATTTGGAGTTTTTATATGAAACTTTGGAAAAGAATTGATAAGTAGAATTTGAAGTTAAATTTGACTTGTCAATGGTTAAATTAAGAGATTTGGAGTGTTAGAATTGGAATTAGAACACATTGAAAATTTGGTATGATTTTTGAATCTCATATGGAAGATAGGATTTTGAGGTTTAAGATGAAATAAATGAATATAGATTGGTTTAAGTATGTATACTAGAGTTAAGAATGAAAAGGGGATGATATATGAAGGGTTTGAGTGGAAATGAAGTAATTTTCGGGTTGAAAATATGATTTCTGGGCAAGGGGAATCGGTACCCATTCAAGGGGAACCGATACCCCTTCAAACGACAGAATTCCAGAATGTCTTGAGGGAATCGATACCCCCATGGTAGGGAACCGATTCCCCCTAAAGGAAAATGCGAATATTGGTTTAATAAGTTCGTTTAAGTTGCTAGTATCCAATTACAAGGTGTAGGTATCTAATGATTACCTCGAAATGTACATTTATGTAGATTCTACGCATAAAGAATTCCGGAACGTTTGGCAAGTAAGATTGATCAAGGGGAAAGATAAGAGATTTGAATTGACTAGTGAGGCCAGGTGAGTGCATATTAATTAGTTTATGGTGCTAAATGGAAACAAGACTTGCGACAAGTCTATTTCCTCTGTTAGAATGCATGAATATATGATTATACGTATATGAATGACATGAATTGTATGTATGCATGATTATATGTGTTAACATGCTTTTGAATGTAATGTTATGAGAAGTATGTGCTATGTAATGTATATATATGAACATATGTGAAACTGAACTATGTGACTGCATGAGAAAGATATGAGCCATATGACATGATATATGTGAACATGAGAAAACAAAGTATAAGATATGAACTATGTGATCCTATGAGAATGTGAAAGAAGCTATGAGCTTATATGGCATGTGATATGAAAGTGTATATGTGAAATGATATGAAATATATGTGAAAACAAGTATATGTTATGAGATCAATGATTACACGTACATGTGATACGTGACTGAAAAGAAAGGATAAGTGGTTATAAGAGAAAGAATATGAATAATTAATGTGAACTGTTATAAATGATAATGCCCATGTTATGTGATATGAGAGCTAGGGGTATAGTTGGCATGCCAAGGGTCGAGGGTTTACCTATGTTCTTCTGGATATATGGACTGTTTACCTATGTTCTTCGGGACATATGGACTGATTACCTATGTTCTTCGGAACATACGGACTGTTTACCTATGTCCTTCGGGACATATGGACTGATTACCTAGGTTCTTCGGAATCTATGGACTGGTCCTTCGGGACATTGATCGAGCTGTGGTGACAGCATATGTGTGCACAACCTCAATGTACTCACATACCTTAAGTTCTCACTAGTGTACATGGGCTAATAAAGTGATTAAACAAGCATACTGAATGTGATATGTATACGATGGGGTTATAAGTGGTTTGAAATGTGTTACGTGAACCATATGATGTTGTGTGTGTATAGTGTTTGATTGAAAAGGTTAACAATAAAAGTATGT